GCACACGCACTAAACAACGACCATCCAACACCCCCCCCCCCCCCCGACACTCTATAAATTAGGCGCTCGCGTAATACCGGGAATTCTCGTATTTAAGCCCTGGGCTTAATTTCAAATTTGACCATGTTTAGTGGTGAAACATTTGTTCTAAAATTAAGCCCAGGACTTAAATTCGAAAAGAGGAAAAATGACAAACATTTGGGTTATTTTTATAATTTTAAATGGAACGATTCAAATTCATTAACAAAAATGGTTTTTAAAACACAGCTGTAATACACCGTCACATAAATGTTCTGAAATACAAAAAGAAACTGTTCATAAACTTTAAATTTCAAAGTTCTTTGAACAAATCAGATCTTACAATCATCAGTACCTTTCTAAAATAATTTTGAATTTAAGCCCATGGGCTTCAATTCGAAATTTAAACTCGGGCTTAATAACGGCAGGGCTTAAATACGAGGATTCCCGGTAGCCGCAAGGTCGAGAAAGTTCCTTCGGATTTTCACGCCTAGTTTCCACTTGACCTGGCCTGGAACAGTGTCTAGTCGTTCGGATAGGATGAAGAACCGAGGTCGGGTGTACTCTACACGTTAACGTGGATGTAAAAGAAGGAACAAGTCGCTGCATCGTTGTTGTCAGTCCATAATGCCCCTGCCCCCTCCCGTCCAGCAATAACATGCTGCTAGGCGTGTGTCCGTCTTTATCACACTGATCAGCAGTGAACTTTTCGCTAGGCCGCTACAATCACTGATAAGGATGACATTGATGCGACTTAATGAGCCAGAAATATTAACTTTTTTCCTGCGACAAATTAAATTCTTAAACATTTTTTTATGTATTGGAAAAATAAATAAAGGCGTTTGACTTATTTGTAGGTAATAATTATTTCCTACTTAGTGTAAATGGGTATTAATATGACTAAAAGGCAGCATTCCGCCCGAAGCAGTAATGTCTTATGTAAACAATGCACGCGCCATTAAGCCAATGATTAACGCAGCGTGCTGTGGCGGCACGTGTTAAGGCAGTCATCTTTGACAGAGATATTAGAAGACTCGTAATTCTCTGTGAAACAGATTGCGTCTTTATAAGCAAGGTTTACGCAGAAAAAGAGGACGTTAAACCCCATTTTAATTATTTCAGTTTTTTTGAATAATTAGTGAATTCTATTGTACCTACAGGCTATTTATCTTATAGTTTATCACCATAACGTGAAACATTATAAATCATACGATGTTTGTTTCTTGCAAGACACCTCACGATACAATTTTTGTATCTATAGCAACGATCTCCCAGTGTTAAAGACCAAAGTGTTAATGTATTAACTTGACGTCCGCGTCAACGGTAAATGTCACGTGGAGCGTGGCTCGATGTTTTTTATGAATATTGTTGAAGATTTTCACACTAGAGAAGAAATGTGTAGTAAAATGGTTGTCATCCCGTGTTTTTAAGAAGCCGGTCACGCGAATGATTAAATAATTACTGATCTACCCAACTCTATTATAAGAAATAATTAACCGGGGATTATTTATAACCATATATATATATATATACGCGTTCTATAGTACCTCGTCTTCATTAGCCCAGTTGGAGCAGAACAGTAGGGCGTTAAACCCAATTTCATGTTATTTCCATTATAAGAAATAATTAACTATGGCTTATTTATGGGTTGTTGAATATTACCTCGTTCGTTCCTGGAGTTTTACGTCCACTTCCACCAAAAGTGATATCGCAAGCAAGAATATTACCTCTTAAGAAAAGAATATTACCTCTTTAACTCGGGGCTATATACACGACCGTTGTTCAATAGTATCATCTTTAACTCGTGGCTATATACACGACTGTTGTTCAATAGTACCATCTTACTCGGGCTATATACACGACTGTTGTTCAGTAGTACCATCTTTAACTCGGGGCTATATACACGACTGTTGTTCAATAGTACCATGTTTAACTCGTGGCTATATACACGACTGTTGTTCAATAGTATCATCTTTAACTCTGGGCTATATGTAACACGATTGTTGTTCAATAGTACCATCTTTAACTCGGGGCTCTATACACGACTGTTGTTCAATAGTACCATCTTTAACTACGTAATAATCAGCATACCAGAACACAGGCTTGACGGACTGAAGCCTAGTGCCTCACAATCTACTGTAGTCTTAAACACCCGTTCGGCACACAGAGAACGTGTTACTCTACTTCGAGAATAGATCTCTGCCCTAAATAACCGCCATATCCAACAATTAGTATATTGTTTTGTAATGCGGTTCTACTCCGCAGTTCACATCTGTTATACACAAAAAGACAAATTAAACCTTTTAAATTTTTAAAAATTAAAACAGAATGTATACTTCTTAAAATTTTTGAAATATACTTAGTGTTTCGACTACAATCGTCGATTTAGGACTTACAATGTCGGTCAACTAGCTTAGTGTCTGACAGCGTAAGTTTAATATGTGCTCAACTGTGATTAAAACACACTTTAATTTTCCTCTAGTCGTGAGTGTGGGGGAATGGGGAGTTTTCACCCCGTCCTCAGGAAACCTGTCATAAGCCATACAATTGTAATATTAGGTGGCTTAAACATTCTAATAAGTATTTTTCTAAAACTCCAACTTCAAAGTTTATATATTACTTGAACATGAATACGGTCCTGAATGGTACTTATGTTGTTGGTGATGCACTACCCATTAGGTCAGCCCCCCCCCACTACACACACACACACACCCACCCCCACACACACACACATCTCCCAACTGTATGGTGTTGGTGAAATGGTGATGCACTACCCCCTCCCCCCGTACTTTGTACAGCCTCCGTTGTGCCATGCGCAAAATGTGGTTTTATCACCACTCGGTTTCTCTTCTCATTAACTAATCCTTTCGGGAAATCAAATGAAATGGAATTTAACGTCCTACTTTTTTGCAACATCTGGGCTGAATGCAAACATACGCAAAGCAGTGTGATATGACTTTATAAATCAGCACTTAACTCTATTTTCCTTCAACCTCAAAATCACGAATATTCACCAAATCCAGGCCGAAAGGGGAAATTATGTAGAACAAAAGCTATCGACAGAAGGAATATTCGTAGTGGTCTGAACCCATTTGTTAACCTAATAGTCTAGTTTTCTATCGTCTGAACGTAGTAGTCTGACTCCATGTTGTTAACATTTAACTAATCGTCTAGCTCTCTATATAGTCTGGTTAATTTTCTTCTATATAGAACACCTGCTTGCTAATTAGCTTTAATGAAGAGGAATGGTCTTGATCTAATGTTGTGGCTTCTCAAAGAGGCGATCCCCCACACAAGTCTCGTGACATCTCTGCCTAGGACAATGATTGACAATGTGTTATCGGTGCGTGTCTGCGATATCATTTGGACCCAGACTAGTTACAACTTGCCCTGAACTCATGATGGTGTAGTGCCACTATTTATAGCAGACCCCGCCCCTTTTGCATGGGGGATCACGGTGGCTAAGTGGGTAAGGCGCTGGCTCGCTAGCCTGGAGGTCGGTTGTTCGATCCCTGCATTGGCCGAGAAAGTTCATCCAGATTTTTCGGCGTGGTTTCCCCTTGTCAGTGATGCAGGACGGAGGCCTGACACCGAGGTCCCGTGTACACATTGGCGTGGACGTAAAAGATCCCTTGACAGTTGTAATTCGATATAAGAGTAGGCCGAAGTGCCGCTGTCCGGGCAAAATTTCCCTCATAGCACACTGTATGGCGTATGCCCGTCTTCATTAGCCCAGTTCGGAGCAAAACAGTAGGACGTTAAATTTCATTTCATTTTGCATGGCAATTATGTTGACGTTTTGGCCCATAATCGTAGCATAAGGTTTGAATTTTCTGCCAAATTTGGGAGAATATTCATTGATTTGAGGCGGAAGGATCGGGAAGTAAACAGGCGTGAATTAGGATGATCGCCTACTAAAATGACGTCACTGCCAATAAATTCATTTGACAATCTCCAATATCTTTATCAGATGATTGTGACTTGTTGGACTACAAGTGGTTACAAAGATTATAGGTCAAACTCTGTCATGAATGTAACGTGGAAGTTAATGGGAGAGGATTACTGGTCCGGATCCTACTGTCGCGTTTCGGGTGTCATAGATGAACGGTAACATACAACGTTTCATTACAATCGGGTGTGAAAGCAAGAGCAAACGACAACAAATGGAGTATAAAATGAACTCGTCAAAGATAGGGCCAGGCAACAAGCTTCAATACAATAGGACGAAATCTCGAATAACAAACTGGAAACCAGTTCATTTTACCAGTCTGACAATCGCTTGTTGAGCTGTCTAGTCCTTCGGATGAACGAAAAACCGAGGCGATAGTGACACTGTATGGTGTATGCCCGTCTTCATTAGCCCAGCATAGGAGCAGAACAGTAGGACGTTAAACCCCATTTCATTTGTTTTATTCATTAGTTAAATTATACATGGACATCAATGAAAAACTATTATTTATATTGTATTAAGAAAGAATTAAAAATGTTAAAACAGTAAACTAGGCACCGCTACCCTACCACAATCAAGAAAACCTTGAAGTAAAATACAGAACCTATTTGTTCGTGCTTTTAGAACACTAGATTATTCACAGCCCTCCTCCCCACCCTTATTACAAATCAAAAAGTTTTGGCGACAAAAAACAATTTTCGTTCGTTCCTTTGGGGAAGGAATAGATACGTCCACCACGTGGCAACCACCGCAATTAGTAAAGTGTTTTACCAAATAATCAAAACCTAAAAACATATTCGAAATGTTGTTGGTGCATGATCCTAACAAATTTGACAAAATTGCTTTTCATACCTTTTCTGGGGACTGTTAAATATTTTCACCCAAAGGCGGACACGGTGTCCATTAAGCAAGGCGTTTTTGTCAACTTGTGTATTGTTCATGAAGCAACTGTGATATGTTACCTAACGCCTGTCATAAGGAACGCCCTGTTATAGTGAGAAAACAATCCAACGTTTATGTATAAAGGTATGATCTGGTGTATATCTGTACTAACCAGAGTCGATATTACAGACATAATATTGCTGACAGTAAAGGTAAGGACTTATTTTAATACTTTCAACATATTATACTCAACCATGGGTTCAATGTCGTGTGGTCTGTCCAATCTCGTGGGGCCCTCTCTCTCTGGGCCCTCCGGTTTGCTCCCAATGATAAAGCGAATTACTGAAATAAAACTAAACCACAGATTAGGCTAGTGGGTGTTAAACTTCATTGCTCTCTATCCCTACTCATTGCGACATTATCAGAAGTTTGTACAACTGGGTTGGATTACTCTGTCCCATTCAGAGGACACGCATTTCTTTGGGTAACAACAGCGCTCCTTTGATTGCTGATCTATTTCTCTGTCTTCAAAATAGTTGGAAAGCCACAGTGGTTCCACAACTATTGGACCGACCCATTAACTAGGTAATCAAAGGACCGTCGGGTTTCTACTTGACTTGGGGATCACGTGGCTAAGTGGGCAAGACGCTGGCTCGCTAGCCTGGAGGTCGGGTGTTCGATTCCTGCATTGGCCGAGAAAGTTCGAGATTTTCCAGCGTGGTTCGCCCTTGTCAGTGATGCAGGACGGAGGGACTGACAAGGACAGCTGTCTAGTCCTTCGGATGAGACAAAAACCGAGATCCCAAGTATATATTGGAATGCACGTAAAAGATCCCCTGGCAGTTGGAATTCGATATAAGAGTAGGCGATAGTGCCGCTGCCCGGGCAAAATTTCCCTCATAGCACACTGTATGGCGTATGCCCGTCTTCTTTAGCCCAGTATAGGAGCAGCACGGTAGGACGTTAAACCCCTTTTCATTTCATTTCATTTCTACTTTACTTGACACAGGACAGAGAGCCTGGTTTGATACAATTCCGAGGATCTGGCGACAAGCTATATTTCTTTACGTATCGCTATCGGTAAGTGATATAGTAAAACGTTTATTCACTAAATTTGCTGCTAAATTTTAACCCTCATATTTCCAAAACGTATTTTTATTAAGATCACTGAGCAATGATCCAGATGGTTATCGTTAAACTGTAGGAAAAATCGCATCCTTATCTGAAATGATTATTGACATTTCACAATCAGCCCTTGTTTACAGTTTGACTTCATAAGTTATAGTCGCCCATATTGTCTTTAGCCAATTAGATAATTCTTGGATTTATTCATTTTAGTGTCTCCTCCAAAACCAATTTTACCCAGTGGTTTGGTATACAATTATTTTCCGGAGAATATCTCACAAATAGTCCAAGATATTTTTTGAAACTTTGTACACCTATTTCGTGCATAGTTATTATTCCTTTTCATATTGGAAATTTTCGCGAATTTAATCATATTTAAACATATCCTGACTTATTTTTGGTATGCGTTCGAGATATTTAATTTATGCAATTTTGCTTTCATTTATACAAAAAGAATTGAGCATATAACCTTTGAACCTTTTGATAATATGAAAGAGTACGAACGATGCTGTCTGTTCGTAAGTGTTGTCCACTAACTATCATGGGATGCCCAACTATATTTTATGGCTATCCCTGTAGCTTCAAATACATTTCCACCGCCGCATGGTGTCGATGACTTGAGTTCTCTGTATTGTATTGGAACCAGATTATCGCTCTTATTATTGTTACTTTTGTGACGTTTTAACTTGTGAAGTCAACTGGCCCAATATCGCCATTCAGTAGACGACCACAGTCAAAACCGGTCGCATTTGTGGCGTCTTTCTTGTAAATCTTTTGTTCTTCATGTTGCGTAAAGCCTGTACCACTACAGGCCCGGGCCTGTATCGTGCAGTGAACGCTTAAGGCTGGTCCCAGAATCCATCCATCTATGTTTTTCATGTATCGTTACAAACCAGTGACTGTACGGTGCGGTGGTCGCTCACGGCTGGCCCCTGAATACATTCACTTGATTTGATATCTTTTGTTTATTTCTTGCAACGTCTGTATAGTTTGTCTTGTCGTGTTTGCACCTACATCTCATTTCCTAACGCGATTATCCCCCACAAACATTTATAGGCATAAGATAGGCTATATTTTATGTTGGGGAGGTGGGGGTCTACTATTTGTCGACCGATAGATGCATTTACGAGTTCCTCAGCACCCACTATATGAGCATTACATGCATGAAGACTTACATTACGAGGGCTGGATGAAATGTTCTGAGCCTGAAAAGGATGAATCAATCGGGTTGAAACAACCTTTTTCCACCTACAAATACCATCATTGAATGAATCATAGACATAAGAACTGCAACTGTAATGTTATTATTGTCTTCATACAACCATTGAAATCGCCAGAAATGGACAAAACCGGCTATAGGGCAGTCATCAAGTACCTACAACTGAAAGGACTAACCCTTAACACAGATACATGCCGACATGGTATCCGTTTTAGGGGATGATACCCGTTCATTTTCCACAGTAATATTGTTATTTTATTTTAATTATTTCAACTGTGATATTTGATTTTATTTATGCATATTGTGATTTCATTTAATGTGTCTCGTAGATGTCACAATATGTTTGGCGCTGACGTGCGATAAAACAACATTTCATTTCCACAGTAACGAAGTTGTCTGTAGAATTTAATCGTGGTGGAGATAGCCTTGACGATGACCCACGTCCGTCATCAACAGCAACCATTTCCGGGTCCATGACATGGTGATGGCTGACCGACGATTGACCAAACGACATATTGCAAATGTTGTGGGCATCTCTCGTGCGAGGGTTGGGGAATGACAAAAGTTTCTACAAGATGGGTTCCAAATCTCTTGACTGTGGATCAGAAACGTGTCAGATTTCTGACATCCCGTGAAGCAGATCTTGATAACTTGATTGCGGATCAGAAACGTGTCAGATTTCCAAAAAGAAACTAGCCGGTCGTAATTGTCCTAGCAATGATATCAGCTGTGAAGGACTGTTTTAGGGTGGCAGAAGAAAATTTCTTCCTGAGCAGCACCCAGGCCTTGCAGCATCGTTGGCAAAAGTGTGTACACCTCTAGGCTAATAAATAGAAACCATCGATTTTGTACAGGTCTTTCACAGATAGGCTTAGAACTTTTCAGCCAGCCCTCGTAAATTTTGGACATCATCTATTTTCACCTTATAGTTATACAAAGCGTGTGGCACAGACGTTATGTAGTAGTCACTATTTTTAAAGGGCTTTCATGAAAAATAACAAATACCCATCTAATCCATGATTTGAAATATATATATTGTTTTTATTTTAAAATGTATCTTTGTATTGACATTACCCAATAACCAATACAATAATTATGCTAGTTTTTCACAAAAATCAGGTAGTATTTGGTAGTATGCCGATTCTAATTTGGAGGGATAGCAAGCACATTATTGTTGTATTTCAATTTTTTTTTAAGATGATGAAGAGTTACGTTCAACTGCTATTGGTGGTAATGATACTATCATGCATTGCAGAAGGATTTATTGATATCATAATTAAGCCCAAAAATAAGGCTCTCAAACAAGTAAGCAGTAGTCAAGACAAGACAAATTTAGCGAGGAGCCATTTGACTGATCGGACACTGCGTGATGATGATGATGATGATGATGAAGAGTATGGGAGATCTGCTAATGATGAGCTTGAACCTTAAAATCATTTTGCCAAGCCATATTAAATAGAATAAAATAGCGTTAAACCAAATTTCATTGGGCCTAATTCCATGGGTCTAAAGAAGCATTTAAATTTTTCCCTTTTCCAAATGCTTAAAATGTTCGCGTGCAGCAATCGACACATCCCAATCAACATTCTCATTATTTAGAAAATCTAAAGCTGAGTTATGTTGACCTTACAACTAAGAGCAACAGACGTTTCCGTAACTGATAGCAATTGACCGTCAAAAAAAAATCGACGAGTCATATTGACAAATAAAGCAGTTGCGTAAAACTTGCAGATATATATATAGGCAGTGCAATTCTATTGGAACAAATCTGACTTTCCAAATCTGACATTTCAAGAGGTTCCTAACAGTGGCGATTTAGATGAAGACCCTAGGTTATTCCACTTATGAGGCTATTGTGTCAAAAATATTGCTCACCCCAAAATCTGTAGGCCCTAAGCTTTCGCCCACTTACCCTTTAGGAAAATCTGGCACTGGAACAAATCTGACATAACTAGGCCATATCGGGAATAACGCATCGTAGAATTTTATTTCAATAATTTGTTTGCGAGCCGTGGTCTTTAGCAATGGGGCTCCGGAGAAAACCCTCTAGGTTAGATTGGGGGTCTCACTGCTTGTCAAGAACAAGCTGGGGATCAAAGCCACGTCACTTGACTCAGTGACAGACCTTATGATCTAAAGTACATTCCTTTGACCACTCAGCCCCACCCCCAATACAGAATGGACGGGAACCATTGGACTGATATTCCTATCTGCAAATTCAACTTTCACAATATTGTAGTTTGCCTATAGATTCTTTTGACCAGGCCCTGAGTTCACAAAGCATTCTCAGACTTAAGTTGAGAATTTCCTCAACTTTCAATTACTGTTTATGATAAATATCTTCGATCCAGAAAGACAAAACTTTGCACACGGTTTCTTATTGATGTATTTGATACATTAAAACAACAAGAATTTTATAAAGGGCAATAATTTAGTTAAAATAAGGAGAATAATTTTGAGAAGATTCTTAACTTTATTCTGAGAATGCTTTGTGAACTCAAGGCCAGGCCTGGTAAAAATATCTAAGCTGTCAACCCCTGCAATATTTTTATTCGGATGATTTTAACATGTTGAACTCTTTGTAGATATGCAGATTAAGACCCTTCGCACCTTTAAAAAAATGATATAGGCTGAGAGGGTCACGTATAAATATTAAGGTCGCCTGCAGATTTCGTCAAGGTCGCGAGATGTAAATAGGGTTAGGGCGCGTTATTGTTGACGAGATTGTGGGTTAGGTTTAAGAATTTGGGAGAGAGGTTAAGTCTCCACATAATTATTGACCTAGGATGATGAAAAATTAGTTCGTGATATTTCCTAGTTTTATTAAAATACATTTAATTTATATACAAAGTCGGTTTTCCTGTTTTTTGGTGGCGCTGAAGGTCTTCCTTGGGTGGCGCTTGTGGTCTTCTGGTATTTTTTTTTCAGAAGAAAAAGGGATAAATTTGAGACTCGAGTGAGAGCCACATTAATGTGTTTCCTACTAAGGATTGGGTTTTCTAAAAATGTGTTTTTCCCACTATTCCTGGGTTAGGGCTAGGGATTCTCATATCTAGTTAACATATTTACTAACGGTTAGGGCTAGGGTTTGATATATTCTTGGCTTTGGGTTAGGGTGAGGACTGGTCTTATTTAGTCTAATTTACTGTGCACTAAGATGTCGTTCTGATTTGTATTTTTTAGAAGACTATGCTTTCTATTATATATATATATATAAAAAAAGCTATTCAAAGACGACGGATGTATCGAATTGCTTGTTATTTTATTTTAAACTGTATTATAAATACTTGATTTAATTGAGTATCAATTACATTCGCTTTCGCTTTGTCGTCTCTGAATTATTAAAATTCAGATATATCTATTGATGTATAACAGGTGATGATGTTAACGTATGACATGGTGATCAATCAAGGAAAGTTAAAAATACATTATGTAAGATGTAATGTATGTAAAGAGCTGACAGTTCTCGCAATAATAGTTTTTAAAAAATAGATAATGAAAAGAGAATACGTCAAATTAATTAATTCTGAGAGGAGAGGAGTTATCGTGGTGTAGACTCGATTGTCTTTTTTATATTAATTCATAATTCGGTTGAAAATCAAAACCATCCGAAATTCTAGAGAGTTGATTATGGGTCTGGTATGTAAATAAATGTGGCATAAATAATTTATATAACAGCTGAGGTCAAAAGAAAGATCCACAATTTAGATCTTAAATAATGCATCTTTAACCATCATAACAACCTTTATACTCGGTTATTATAACAACATTTAGCGTGATTAAACTTTAGCGATAAAATCTCAAAACATTTCACTACCCTCCGTATGATTTAATTTTAGAGATTCGATTAACGTACTGGGCCCTGTTTCTTGAAATCTTAACTAAGATAAAAAAAATCCAAATTTTAGTAATTTGATTGGATAATATTAGATTGATTTTAGTGCTTAGCCAATCAAAATTGAAATATCTACTAAACTTTAGATTTTATCTTTAGTTAAGGTTTCGCGAAACAGGGCCCAGGATGATAATTTGGCAGCCATTGATTGTAACTTAAAAATTTCATTCAACGTCATGATATATATTTAAACGAACCCTTTCAAACGGTCCAGTCGCACAAATTAATAATTTATATAGTTTGTTTGAAATGAAAGAAATGTATTTTTACAGCTACAAAAGAAATTGTGTTCGTTTTTTTTTTAAATATTATGACTTGAATTTATATTATTGCTGTGTATTATTATCCTAAAACATTGGTGGTAAATTCCATATGACATGGGAATACAGACCAAGCTTGTGTGAATATAGCTAGGTTGTCTATTGTTGCTTTGTCGAAAAGTGAAGTAACTATCTTTCAAGAATGTTATGCGTACTGCTTCTGTCTTTTTTAAAATGTTAATATATTCCCTATGTAATGGAGTAACAGGATAACATCTGTGAATGTAAAACTAAATCATACAAGCCCATGGCCCTGTTTCTTGAAATCTTAACTAAAGATATAATCCAAATGTTAGTAGATACTTCAGTTTTGATTGGCCAAGCACTAAAATCCATCTAATCAAAGCCACGTCACTTGACTCAGTGACAGACCTTATGATCTAAAGTACATTCCTTTGACCACTCAGCCCCACCCCCAATACAGAATGGACGGGAACCATTGGACTGATATTCCTATCTGCAAATTCAACTTTCACAATATTGTAGTTTGCCTATAGATTCTTTTGACCAGGCCCTGAGTTCACAAAGCATTCTCAGACTTAAGTTGAGAATTTCCTCAACTTTCAATTACTGTTTATGATAAATATCTTCGATCCAGAAAGACAAAACTTTGCACACGGTTTCTTATTGATGTATTTGATACATTAAAACAACAAGAATTTTATAAAGGGCAATAATTTAGTTAAAATAAGGAGAATAATTTTGAGAAGATTCTTAACTTTATTCTGAGAATGCTTTGTGAACTCAAGGCCAGGCCTGGTAAAAATATCTAAGCTGTCAACCCCTGCAATATTTTTATTCGGATGATTTTAACATGTTGAACTCTTTGTAGATATGCAGATTAAGACCCTTCGCACCTTTAAAAAAATGATATAGGCTGAGAGGGTCACGTATAAATATTAAGGTCGCCTGCAGATTTCGTCAAGGTCGCGAGATGTAAATAGGGTTAGGGCGCGTTATTGTTGACGAGATTGTGGGTTAGGTTTAAGAATTTGGGAGAGAGGTTAAGTCTCCACATAATTATTGACCTAGGATGATGAAAAATTAGTTCGTGATATTTCCTAGTTTTATTAAAATACATTTAATTTATATACAAAGTCGGTTTTCCTGTTTATATATATATAGGCAGTGCAATTCTATTGGAACAAATCTGACTTTCCAAATCTGACATTTCAAGAGGTTCCTAACAGTGGCGATTTAGATGAAGACCCTAGGTTATTCCACTTATGAGGCTATTGTGTCAAAAATATTGCTCACCCCAAAATCTGTAGGCCCTAAGCTTTCGCCCACTTACCCTTTAGGAAAATCTGGCACTGGAACAAATCTGACATAACTAGGCCATATCGGGAATAACGCATCGTAGAATTTTATTTCAATAATTTGTTTGCGAGCCGTGGTCTTTAGCAATGGGGCTCCGGAGAAAACCCTCTAGGTTAGATTGGGGGTCTCACTGCTTGTCAAGAACAAGCTGGGGATCAAAGCCACGTCACTTGACTCAGTGACAGACCTTATGATCTAAAGTACATTCCTTTGACCACTCAGCCCCACCCCCAATACAGAATGGACGGGAACCATTGGACTGATATTCCTATCTGCAAATTCAACTTTCACAATATTGTAGTTTGCCTATAGATTCTTTTGACCAGGCCCTGAGTTCACAAAGCATTCTCAGACTTAAGTTGAGAATTTCCTCAACTTTCAATTACTGTTTATGATAAATATCTTCGATCCAGAAAGACAAAACTTTGCACACGGTTTCTTATTGATGTATTTGATACATTAAAACAACAAGAATTTTATAAAGGGCAATAATTTAGTTAAAATAAGGAGAATAATTTTGAGAAGATTCTTAACTTTATTCTGAGAATGCTTTGTGAACTCAAGGCCAGGCCTGGTAAAAATATCTAAGCTGTCAACCCCTGCAATATTTTTATTCGGATGATTTTAACATGTTGAACTCTTTGTAGATATGCAGATTAAGACCCTTCGCACCTTTAAAAAAATGATATAGGCTGAGAGGGTCACGTATAAATATTAAGGTCGCCTGCAGATTTCGTCAAGGTCGCGAGATGTAAATAGGGTTAGGGCGCGTTATTGTTGACGAGATTGTGGGTTAGGTTTAAGAATTTGGGAGAGAGGTTAAGTCTCCACATAATTATTGACCTAGGATGATGAAAAATTAGTTCGTGATATTTCCTAGTTTTATTAAAATACATTTAATTTATATACAAAGTCGGTTTTCCTGTTTTTTGGTGGCGCTGAAGGTCTTCC